TCGTAGTGTGTAGAACACATCTTTTTGGCTTGACTCCTTATGTTTCGGATCATAGTACTGAGGTCCGAGTTGGAGTCATAGGAATGAAATTAGCTCCCCCTTTTGTACATGCTCTCGATAGCAGGAGCTAATGTGACTGTAAAACACTATTTTGAAACATTCGTATTAATGTCACTATGAAGGAGCTAATGTTAATGTTGAACTGATTTATGAATTAGGGGTACACACTTGTTATGCACAAAGTTTTACTAAATTGAACAACTTCCAACAGAAGGTAGCTTACAGTTCAACAAACACACACAGAAAGTAAGCTTACAATCACAAACAGGAATTTGGTTGCAAATGAACCCACAATCCTCACTCATAATTGAACTAACACCATTACAATAAGGCCTATGGCTACAAAGACAGCACACACGATCATTCGACTTTGTAGTGCACATATTGCCTTTCGCATACTTTGCAATTCCATAAAACTAGCTTCACTAATCTCAGTAACCTTCTTCAAATCCTAAAGGTACAGTCACTATTACCTTCAGATGTACCATCGACACAACGAAAAAAATGGCAATCTTCCTTTACATCTTTCCAAAAAAGGCAGGAATAGAATTTCCTTCCAGGATTATCCTCTGTGCGAGAGGTATTCACAACGCAGGGAGCATTGTGGCCTTCACATCTTACCTTCGCTGTGTTCGACAAACCAGAAGCGGAAGAGGCTGAAGCTTGGTTGCTGATTCTACCAGCTCGCCACGATATTGTTGCTAGAGGCCGCGATAGAAAGAAAGAAAGAAGAGCGTTGGTGAGATGGAAGAAAGGAGGCGAGGGAACTGGGTGGAAGAAAGGAGAGCGCGATTTTGATTCTCGGCGGCGGCGGCTCGTAGGAGAAGGGATAGGGTTTCTGGGGAAGAAATTGGTTCGGAGAAGGGATAGGGATTGCTTTTCTCCCGGTTTTTGGTGAGAGGGGGAGGGTATAAATGGTGGCTGGTGGCTTTTTTCATTTTTTTCGTTCTTTTAATTAATTTTTAGAGTTATTAATTTTTTTTTGGTAATAAGAATTATTAATTTTATTAATAGAAAGAAAAAAAATTAATAATTAATAATTTTTTTATGTCAACGTGGCAGTTGATGTGTACATTGACTAACGGTCAATAGGTTTGACCATCTAATTTGACGGTCAAACCCGCCTCCAGGCCAAATGAGGAAGTTTGCTACATAGTTCAGGCCATATTAGCAATTTTCAATACCACGGGCCAAAGTAGAAAGTATGTGTATAGTTCGGGTCAAACTAAGGTATTAACCCAAACAATATATAGGTCGAACACTCAAAGAAATACCAAATCATTTAAGAATATAAAAGATAAAAATGTATCATTGATTTCATTTTTCATAATGATAAAATATCATATTGGTTAGTTGATTGTCAAGAAAGTTAGAATATAAAAGTTCACTGGAATTACCACACGACCAATATATAGTTTGAAACTGAATCTGAAACCTCACAATCCTACATAAAGGGTTCAATGCTTTTCTTTTAGGAACTATATGCCACTAATAAAAAAGAAATGTAGAGTTGTTGGTTCAAGTCAACTATATAACTAAAAACTAAGCTAAGAGGGAACCATCAAAACTTGAGAGCAAACGACAAAATTTGGGTTACCTCCAATATACTAATAAATTTGATCAAAGTCATAAGACACAAAATTAGACACTCCTAATCTATCAATTTCAGTAGGGTGAATAAAAAATCAACATACTTTAGTAAATCAATCAATGATTCCTTGTTTTAAGATAGAAATAGGTTGTGGTAGTTGCAAAAACCATAAACCTAAAGAGCCAATAGCCACCACTCTCCGTTGAACGACCAAACTTTTATCCACTATATCTTCAATCTCAAGAGGCATATGTTTCAACCAAACATTCACTTTTTAATTCTCCTTCAGTGTCATAAACCAGTTGGTCCCAATAACTCGAGTTGTTGGGAGAAGGTTATGTTGGATCTTATACAGGCTCGTGTATGGTGCTTACCCACTTCCTTACACGCCCCCTCAAACAAAAGCCGACTCATGAGCTTGAAGTTTGCACCGGCCCAACCCTACCATGTGCTTGAAAGACAATGGTTAATATTGGGGGTCGTTAGGACTTGAACACGTGACCTCAAGGACAAACCAGCTCTGATACCATGTCATAAACCAGTTGGTCCCAATAACTCGAGTTGTTGGGAGAAGGTTATGCTGGATCTTATACAGGCTCGTATATGGTGCTTAACCACTTCCTTACATTCTGCAACTCCATTCCTTCTACTTTGATGGACCTTCTCTCCGTGGCCCTCAATTTCTCTTCCAATTGGGGTTCTTGTCAACTCGCTCTTCAACTCCTCAATCTTCTTCTTGTGTTTTGCCAACTCATCTTTCTCAGAGGCAGTTGTAATAAGTTTGCTAAAACCAACACTCATCTCCAATTCCATCAATATGTTCATCTCCCCTTATATGCCTTCACCTGCTTCAGTCCACTTCCATGCCCTTCAATACCCTCTCCAATTTCATTACTATCCTCATCATCTCTCACTTCTCTCCCTTTAACTGCTTTAGTTTCGCTTCCATGTCTTTCAATACCCTCCTCAATTCGCTCACTACCCTCTCCAACGTAACTCCCTCTTCTCTGCCTTCACCTGCTGCAGTGGAACTTTACCTACTACCAAATCCACACACAATTTCTTCCCCCCACCACTTCCATTCTCAAACTCAATTCCAACTCTTCTACTCCAAGTTCAGATCCATAACTACTTGATTGAAATTCATTTTATTCGCCATAGATTGATATCGGATTTGAAATTTTCTACTTGCCCAGTTTAAATCCCCAAGAATAAAATTGATGTGCCAAGAGAAATCAGAAGATTAATTTTCAAATGCGCCCTTGTACCGGGAAGTGAAAGGGCCAAACTATTGCACGATGGAGGAACTTTCGGAGGAAGTTAGAAAGAGATAAAAACAAAGATAAAAAAAGCACTAAATATAAATTGAAAAATACAATGACACAATACGTAGTAAAAAAAATAGTTTCTTCCATATTAGCCAATTACAAATTTACCTAAGCGAAAATTTAGGAGAGAACATGAATTTTAAAATGGATAAAATTACATGAAACTCTACTATGAAAATTGAAGTATTAAGCACCATTAAAATACATACGGTAGACTTATTGGCTTGTTGATCATGATGTAAAAGTCATTCACTTTCCAGAGTTTAACTTAGTGTGTGTTCTGTATTCAAATAAAAACTACAAATTCATTTAGTGTAATCTACAAAATACTATAAGCCAATGTCAAAATAGAGCCTTTGCCACGTCAGCCGCTCATGATCAACCCGCACAGTGCGGATGGGCTTTTCAGTCATTCTCAATTCCTCTCTTTCTCGCTATCTCTCTAGCCCAACCATCCTAGAAAATCCAACCCCTCCTCTACCTCATCGCCTCCCAAAAGCGCAGAAATGACCGGCGTTGCCCCTGCCCTTCCCTTTCTCGTCGGCGCTCGTGTTTCTCTAGCCGTCTCTCTCTAGGCCGAATCGATAGCCAGTTCCTTAATCCTTTAACTCCCCTAAAAAAACTGAACTCCGCCACCCGCCAACCACAGCTCCCGCCGTCCTTAGCGGTTAGCGGTGCCCTCGAAAGTGATATTTCAACCCTCGCCGACAAGCAAAAAAATTAAATTGCCCCCTATCGTCACTCTCGCTCATACCCCTTCTCGCTATTTGACCGTCTGTCTCCCAAGCCTCCCGGAAAGCCCACGCCTGACCGCCATCCTTGCCGCAATGCGCAATCTGATCCCGGTATATACCCCCAAGCGTTGTCCTCGACAGTGTTCACTTCAATATGCTCTCGGCCTAACAGAAGGTGTGTTTCGAATGTTCAAACTTTCTTTCTTCTTCTATTCTATTTCTCATGGATTCCATCTGGAAATTTAGTCCCTCTCCTTTTGTAATTTGATTCGCAAGTTTGTATCTTCGTTTCAAAGGGAGTTGCAGTCTATCAAAAATCTATGGGTTGGAGGTCTGATTAGGAAGAACAAAGAGGCTTGAACTGCGATCACTCTCTTTCCCCACCCTTTTTGTTCCAGCTCACTACTCCATGGCTTAATTTTCGTACAAACCCCAGGCTCCGCCAGTTAAGTCCCCCCAGAGCGCCATTATCGACGAACCCAAAACCTCGCCACCACCCCCTTTTAATACCCGCGCCTCAGGCTTCCGGCAAGATTCATCACAATGCGTCAATAAGGTTATTCCTAACTTCCTTCGAACGTTCTGAAATTAATGGTGTGTGACGATCATTGTTATCGAGCTTAGGGGTTAGATCAATTGAATTTGATATTTTTGAGAGTAGTGGTAGATTGGATACGTGATGTGATTGATACAAGGCCAAATGTGGGTGGCAAGTGCTGCAAATTATCTGTAACCTTTGTGGTGGGCTTTTGTGATAATAATTAATATTCCAAGGCTTATACCTGCTATTTATTTAGAAAGAGTTCATTATTCTGTTTCTTAAAACCTTCCACTGCAATTCCTCTGTCTTGCGCTTCAAAATGCAAAGAAACAAAGGCTTACAACAACTTCAATTTCTCCATTTGTTGTCCCGTTAATCCTGCTTCAATATTCACTCTCTAAAAGATGAAATTTCCATTATATATACTCGAATTGAACAGCAAAGTAGTTGATCATTATGTTGTCAAAGTTGCTAAAACAGTAGCTTGATCAAATTGCTGAAATTGTTTTTGTTATGATTGCATTAATATTTCTTTACTACTATCACATCTTTTAGCAATTAGTTGTTGTATTTAAGGATATGCTGGGTATTACATCTTAACTTATATGATTTGTTAGTGGTTATTACATGATAACAGTTTTCCGGATGATTATAATTGTGCATTACTTTACTGTGGTCAAACAATCACAGTAATGGACAACAAACTAAAGGCAGAGCTTCAAACTTTTGCAGTGATACCTAGGTACCATGATTCAAGGTTGATGGCTTGATGCCACTGATAAGGGAGATATTTGTACCAGTGTCAACAACTCACAAGATGAACCAAACTTGGAGGAAAGCTACGACACTTATCCAAGTTCTGGAGGTCTAAGAGGGAGTACCTTGAAGAAGCAGAAAAAGAATCCATGTTGTTGTCTCGGACATTGCGTAGTACTGGAATGATTTGTTTGATGGTAAGGTTCAGGTTAGGAACATTGTATTTGGTAGTTTGCTTCTCATATATGGGATGTTAGATTGTTAGTGCGTGGTTTGCTTGGCATGTTGGTAAATAGGTTCAACTTTTGTATTCTGCTTATAATAGGACTTTCATGTTGTGCTAATTCAAAAACAACTTATTCCTGCAATTTATGTGGCTAATCCAAAAGAATGCACTTTCAGCTTGCTTTGGTTTGTTTATCTTTGGAGTTTCAGGTTATGTTTATTCAAACAGTAGCTTACCAAGTCGTTTATTGCAAAGAAAGATGTTATGCTTGATGTGGTTTGCTTTTCAATTATAAGCAGTTTCAGTATGTTTTTATTCACGCAACAACAACTTATTGGTCTTATTTATCTTTCAGTATGTTTTTATTCCCCCAAGCCCTAGCTCAGTGCCTCCCGACATCGGTCCTCGGAATTCCCTCCCAAATCCAGCCGCCGAGGAAACAATCCTTCTCTGTCTCGCTCTGTGCCTTCAAAAACCGACTCTGTTTTTGCTGATTTGCTCTCAAAGGCCAAAGGTATGGACCATCCTAAACCTATTCATATGTGTCCACATTGTCCCCAGTTTCTCAAGAAGGAGGCTAATCCATAGCTAAATAGTCTGTGTGATTCATCCCATACTTCTATATCTGTTCCCTGCATGCACATAAGCAAGATTATTGTGGGCATCAAACCCATCAAAAGCAAAATAAGCAATCCAATCCAAACACAACAATAATAGCGAAGAGTGGAATTTAAAGCGGAGGAAGCAGGGGAAGCGGTGGAAGGAGGAATTAGGGGGCCATGCAAAAGGAGGAGCAGACACGTTGATGGGGAATGGTGGGTCCACTAGAATGCCAAATGGGGCTATTATTCTCCAATTGTGATACCAAAATTCTTTATGGCTTTTGCAGGAAACCTAGGTTGAAATTCCAAACCCCAGTTATCGGTTAAAGGAGACAAACTATTGTATTCCCTCTTCAAAGTGTCGACCTTTGCGGCTTTTCCCCCACTTGCCGCACAAGGGAGGCTGATCATCATCTAAAATCATATTTTCCTGTGCCGGCTCAAAGCTCTCATGGAAACGAAGAAGCAACAAAGGCCACCCATGGCATTTAGTCTCTCGGTTTCTTAGGTTTGTATATTTATTGTAGCAATACCTCAAGGGATTACAACTCTGGATGTGGGTCTCTACCCCCAGCATGTACAAATACAACAAGCAGGTGAATTAAACGTGCAAAATTGTGGAGGGAAACTGTGATCTAATTAAAATGGTTATTTGTGCTTTAGTTGAATTTAACTTTGGAGATTTTGACTACACAACCTGTGTTTGAGTTCTATGGATGGCACCAACCATATGCTTATGTGTGATTGTAGCAGGAACATCTTGGTTGATTATGTTAATTATGTAGCCAAAATGTTGCTTCCTTCTAGGGGTCATCAAATAGTCTTCATTTTATGTCGTTTGTATAGAATATTATCACAACATTTGCTAATCCCGGCCAACGGGCCGGGCCCAATGCTAGTTAGTTATAATTGTTGTCTTTGTTTGAAAAGACCCGGGTTCAAATCTTGATATTGATATTTTTCATTTAAAATAATTAATTATAAAGACAAAAATGTCCTTCATACTTTTACTCTCATTATAGGAAATTTGAAATGAATAAAATTACAGAAAACTCATATATATATAGAGAGAGAGAGGATTAAACCCCTGCTAAGTGCTAACCAACCCTTTCTTTTCAATTTTCATTGATGGAGCAGGAACCAATTTCATCACCACCGGATGTTGCCCCTCATCGTGGAACCTATAAACAGTTCTTCACCAACATGCATAATACATTAATAGAGGAATACACTAGTTTAATTAATGAATCCTATTTGAGAAATGATTGATGATTTACCTAAAAAATGGTGAATACTATTTCTTGATCTTGTAATGACTATTACTGCTTCACCGGTGGTGAATACTTCTGATTCGTTACATTTGCATATCGATGGGATTTTGAACCGTTAAAACCCCTGCGCTGCTAATGGTATCCACTACTTCTAGAGTTACTTCCGATCGACATGATTGTTTATAAATAGAAAATTCGTGATAAGAGTAAGAATTTTCACTATCGAAGCTGTCTTAGATTGACAGGATCTTGAGTACGTAGACCAAACCTGACAATGGTAAAAAAAACATCCACTTCGGAAATTGACTCAAATCGATAAGATCTTGAGCACGTAGAATAATCGTGCTGATAACGTGTTATGAATAATTATTTCACCGTGGGAAAACGCAACACCATTAATAAACACAGTAGAAAAGAAAAGTAACACGACTTTTATTCAATACTATCGTAAATTACAGTGAATCAAGTAAGAGAAGATGTTTATGTCCTCTTTGCTTTTGTGTGTTTGAAATTTTAAGTTTGAACTACTTTTAGAGTAAAATACCTCGGGTGTCACTTAAGTTTGAGAATTGAGGTAGACATACCACTTAAATTTGAATAGGGCGTCGGGTACCACTGAACTCTATTATATGTGCACCTAGTACCACTTAAATTTACAACTACGTTCATTCCGTTAAAGTTGACAGGATATTCTTGGAATATTCTGTTTTCTAAATTTCAGAATTGGTCCTTCTACTTTTCTTATTGTAAAAAATCATTTGGACTTAATAAAAACATCATTTTCTATTATTTAGTTTGGATTCTCTTTTAAATACTTCATACCAAACCAATTTTTGAAAATTTAGAATCAATTATCATTATAATTATTTTCAATAATCATTATATGTTCTAATAATTGAATTATTCCATGAATGTTGTACTAAACAATGTTGTAGCTTTTATAGTCATATTTTATTTTCTATATTTTTTACCGAATGTTGTAGCTTAAATATTTTATTTATTACTTGGTTACTTTCAATCTCTTTTCGTTCTAAATTTTTTCAATTAGTGGAATATATTTAATTCTTTTTTATTTGATTCCATTTATCCTTTTTTTATTTTGATGTATTAATGATCGATTAGGTTCTATTTTAACTGTTTCTAATGGTGCTTTTAACTAAATTAGGGGGGTTAAATAGATATTCTAATATTATTTTAAAATATTTATTATAATATTCTAGTATATTTATCTTTTTTTTTGAAATTTTATTAGTCATTCTAGTAATAATATGTTTAGAAGGTTTTTTATTATTATATTAGATAAAACTTGTTGAATATAGTTTTGGATGTTTTTAAAAGTTTTGGGTATCAAAAAGTAATTAAAAGTTTGGGTTGGATGGAAAAACAGACGGATGCACATTTTGGCGACATTAATGGTACCCAACACCCTATTCAAACTTAAATGATATGTCTACCTCAATTCTAAAACTTAAATGGCACCGAGATATTTTACCAATTTATAGGTGAGGAGGAGATAAAGCCTTGGGTGGACAATGCCAACCCATTTCTGCTGGCTCCATTCTTCTCTCACTATTCCAATGTCTCGATTTTGACATCCACATGGACCATGGCCACAATTCAAAAACTTAAATGGCACCCAAAATATTTTACCGGTTTATAGGTGATGAGGAGATAAAGCTTTGGGTGTACAATGCCAACCCATTTTCTGCTGGCTCCATTCTTCTCTCACTATTCCAATGTCTCGATCTATGTGTTGTAGTTGACATCCACATGGATCATGGCCACAATTTATAATGATAATAATTATTAGGCACAATACACTTGTATAGCCAAAACTTTGACGGTTTTGCCAAATATAGCCACTTTTGGCGAAATACAAAAAATAGCCACTTTCGTCCAATTCTTTGACGGCGTCAAGTAACAGGCTGACTGTACTAACGGCATTGCTGAGTTGGCGACCGTTAGTCAATTAAAAATGTGAGGTGGAAACTAAAAATAAATAATATTTATTTTCTCTCTCCATCTCTCTTCTTCCCCACTATCAAAATTTTATCCTTTTATTAATTAAGTTAAATAAAAAATCATAAAAAGAAAAAACCTTCTCCCCTTTTCTCGTGTGCATCAACGAACAAGAAATTCACTCCCCTTTCTTCTTCCCTAGAAATCCTTCTCCTCTCATCTCTATCTTCTTCTTTCTATCTTAAAAAAATGCCCAGAGCGGAATCAAATCTGACCCCGATTCTCAATCCACTCTTTGCATCTCGATCTCCCTAATCTTAATTTTCTGCTTACTAAATTGGGGGGTTCAACTGATGGAGGAGAGGAAGGACGGGGGAGAAGCTCCGACGACGGTAGCAGTAGTGAACTTGAAACCAGGTCAGAGATGGTGATGGCTCCCAGAACCGCAGCTCCACTGTCAATCGATGGTGATGGTGGCGATGGTGACGACGGCAAGGATTTGGGGATTAGGGATTCGGTGGCGATGGTGATGGCTCCCTGTTCTAGATTCGTCCCTTTGTCGGCCTTCTGCCTCGTCGTCTTTGCTCAAACCCCGTCGCCATCATGTCGCAGAGTCTTCTGTTCCATATTATGAAGCTAGAGGAAGATTGCTGGATTTGATTCTACTAATGGGAGAGGAGGAGGATTGATGAGCAGGGGAAAGCAGGGGCCTTCATGGGGTAGGAAATGGATTGGGTCGAGCTGGATGGAGGCTGTCATCGATAGGAGATTCGACCGCATCTCCAGCAAGACGTATCTCCATCTACAAATTGAAAAATCAATTTGGTCATCCCTGTATGCATCTCCAGCAAACACTCTCCAGAAAACCCTAATTCCAAATCCATGGCCGCCAAAGAGACAGAGATACAGCTACCGATCCGAGCTCGACTCTAGTGCTTCTTCCGACTCGTCATCCCGCCATTATTGCCATCGCCATCACTGATGTCGTCCAGTCTTCCCCATCTCCGATCTGTATTCTTGACTCCCCTATCGACCCTGACTCTCCGCCGCGTTCCTTTCTCTTCTTCCGTTCTTCGCGCAACCGCTTGCCTATGCCGAGACCCGACGACCATGGCGGAAACCTCAGTGAGACCCGAAGGAACCGGCGGGCGGCAGCTGCCTTGTTCCGAATTCAAGAAGGAACAACGCAAAGTTAATAGTTCTATTTCTTTTAGGTTTAATCGGAGATGTAGGAAGAAGAAGAAAAGGAAGGAAAGGAGAGGAATCTGTAAAGATTAGAAAAGAGCTTTTAATTAATTTATTTATTTTAGTTAATTTATTTTCCTTTTTCCACATTGGAATAAGTGATTTTATGTTTTTTTCAAAATTAATTAATTTTATAAATAAATAAAAAATTAATGACGTGGCAATGATAGGGTGATTTGTCACTGACGTGTGCGATAATTTGGCATCCTAGTCACTCTAACGTTAACCTAACTGACGGAGTCTCTAACACTGTTAAAGTTTGTAACGGAAATGGCTATATTTGTCATGACACTTTCAAAATTCTGGCTATAAGTGGTATTTCGTCAAAAGTGGCTATATTTGGCAAAACCGTCAAAGTTTTGGCTATACAAATGTATTTTGCCTAATTATTATTATCATCATCATCATCTAATATTCAAAGGCTCCTCCAGTGGAACCGAGAATATCATGGAAATTAAACCACCACATAGTCTACTAATAGTTTCACATTAGGTGTTTTGTATCTAGTCAAGACAACAAACACTTAGATCCAGGCTGATAAATCGTAAAAGAAGGATTGCGAAGAGACGATTTTAACGTGGTTCTTCCTCACGATGTGTGAGGCTTACGTCCACAAAGATTATATTCTCATTGATTGATTTCGGCGTCAGCCGTACACATATTTATATACCCTAATGCAGCCGACTTAACTAGGGTACAACTCTTGCCAATACAAGAAGGACTAGGAGTCCTAAACGTCGTGGAGACATGGTGTGCATGGGCTGCATGGTGGACAGGTGCGGCCGAAGCTGGATCAACATCTTCTCGGCCCAATACTCCCCCGCAAGTTGAGCGATGGAGATTACGAACGCTCAGCTTGGACAACAAGGTACGAAACCTCTCGGCACCAAGTCCTTTAGTAAACATGTCAGCCAGTTGACGATCAGTGTGGATTTTGACAGGTAAAATGTGACCTGGCTGGACTCGTTCGCGAACAAAATGGCAATCCATCTCGACATGCTTAGTGCGCTCGTGAAAAACTGGATTGTTGGCTATATGGATGGCAGCTTGATTGTCACAGTGTAGTGGTGTGGGGCCAGGCTGCGAAACCCCAAGTTCTTGCAGCAACCAACGAATCCAAAGCACTTCACTAACGGTACTTGCCATGGCTCGATATTCAGCCTCAGCAGATGAACGAGCCACCACGCGTTGCTTCTTTGTGCGCCAAGAAACGGGGGCACCCCCAAGACTGACAAAGTACCCTGTAGTAGAACGTCGAGTGGTCTGGCATCCACCCCAATCAGCATCGCAGTAAGCAACCAGCCGGAGAGAATTGTCCTTGGGGAAAAACAACCCTTGACCCGGTGTAGTCTTCAGATAACGAAGAACTCGGAAGGCTGCATCCATGTGGAGTTGACTAGGAGCGTGAACAAACTGGCTCAAGATATTCACGGCATAAGTAATATCAGGCCGCGTCACAGTCAGGTAAAGAAGACGCCCAACCAGTCGGCGATACGGTGAAGGATCAGACATGCGGTCATCAGCAGGGCGCGTAAGCTGGTGATTTTGCTCGATGGGAAAATCACTCGGTCGCGAACCCTCAACCCCTGCATCTTCAAGGATATCAAGAGCGTATTTACGTTGACTAAGAACGACCCCATCAGTGGTACGGGTGAGTTCAATGCCAAGAAAATAACGCATGAGACCAAGATCCTTGATGGTAAATCGTTGATGCAGAAAATCCTTGACACGAGAGATGAATGACAAGTCCGTCCCAGCCAAGAGAACATCATCCACATAGATCAATGCCACAACAAAAACACTCCCCCGCTGGTAGATAAAAAGAGCCGCATCAGCGGGAGATGACTGAAAATCCAGCTCACACAATGCAGTGGTGAACTTCTGGTACCACTGGCGTGAAGCCTGTCGCAGGCCGTAGAGTGACTTATGTAAACGACAAACCCGGGTACCGCCAGGTGCTCGAAACCCTTCAGGAATTTCCATGTAAATTTCTTCATCAAGATCGCCATGAATGAAGGCATTGTTAACGTCGAGTTGATGGAGATGCCATCCCCGACTAACCGCAACAGCAATGAGACAACGAATTGTGACCAATTTCGCGACAGGTGCAAAGGTGTCGTGAAAATCTAGGCCTTCAATTTGCGTATAACCCTTGGCGACAATACGCGCCTTATGGCGTTCGATAGTACCATCAGGTAAAAACTTGATCTTGTAAACCCATTTGGGAATGATAACCCGCTTGCCGGGGGCAAGGGAACGAGGCTCCAAGTGCCATTCTCCTCTTGCGCGCGAATTTCTCGAGTCATGGCATCACGCCAAACCTTTTCACGGACTGCCTGGCGAAAAGTGCGAGGTTCATCATGACGAGTCTGTGCTGCAAGAAAGGCACGAAAAAAGGGTTTAAAATTTGTATAATCGACATAAGCTGCAAGTGGGTAACGAGCATAATGAGTGGTACTTCCCTCGGCAGTCGTTGAGTAGCGAGTGTCATAATCCGCCAAATGTTTTGGGCGAAATCGCACTCTATCACTTCGACGAGGGAACTGGGGAGGAGGTGGCCCATGCGAAAATGCTGGAGCTTCGGAGTCCATGGAGGGAGAGGGTTGTGCCCCAGGAGACGAAGTCGATAATGGTGAAGCCCCCGACTCCATTAAGTGATCGGGGGAGGTAAGCTCGATCGAGGACGTCGGCGTTGGCTCTATCTGTCTGGCAGGGGACGAGGATGAACCGGGCTCGATCGAGGATGCAGGCCCATCGGCGTCAGCCGAGGGCACCACACCATTAGACTTGGCCGCCAAAGCTGGATTAATGTCATCAACATCTTCGGCAGGGAATTGGACAGCGAGAGGTGTGTCCTCATTATTTCCAATGGTAATTTGAGATGTAGTAAGTGGACGTGGTATCCAATGCAACGTCCGCCTAGTATCTTCTTGCATGGGAAATAAGGTCTCATGAAAACTGACATCACGAGACGTGACCAAGCGATGAGTTACGAGGTCGTAAATGCGGTAGCCCCTTTGACTAATTGCATATCCCAGGAACAGACCAGCCCTTCCCCGTTCAGCAAATTTGTCGAGGTGAGCTCGGGTATCCTTGTAGTAAACCAAACAGCCAAAAACCCGTAAGTGATCATAGGTAGCTTTCTTCTCAAAAAGCATTTCAAATGGTGCCTTGCCAGTTGCACGAGTTGGGAGCCGATTGATGAGGTATACCGCCGTGAGTATGCACTCTCCCCAAAAACGAATGGGTAAACTAGCTTGAAAGCGAAGTGCTCGTGCCGTCTCAAGTATATGTCTGTGTTTGCGTTCAACCACTCCATTTTGCTGGGGTGTATTTACGCATGACGTTTGTAACAGGATGCCCTCTTGATCATAATAGTCCCGCAGCATCGGAGTATTAAACTCGGGTCCATTATCCGCTTGAATGCGCTTGACCGAGTGTCCAAATTGCACTCGCACCATTTGACAAAATTGCAAAAGAAAACGACCAACGTCAGACTTGTAACGCATAAGATAAACCCAAACACCACGTGTAAAATCATCGACAATGGTCAGAAAATAATGTGCTCCAGAAACTGATGCAATTTTGTAGCCACCCCATATATCAACGTGGATCAGTTCAAAACTACCCTTGGTTTTAATGTCACTGAAATGAAAAACATCACGAGTTTGTTTGGCCCTTAAGCAAGAATGACAAGGGTGCTTATTTGCCGACAATGGTAATGATAAAAAACGACTAAGGTAAGACATCTTGTCCGGGGATGGATGCCCTAGTCGGGCATGCCAAACCACCTCCGATACTGAATTCCGACTCTGCGCTGCACAAGCCTGCGAATGCCCACGCCCAAACAATTGCAGGTAATAAAGACCATCACGTAACTCACCCTTCCCAATCAATCTCTTGGAGCGTAAGTCCTGAATTATGCAGAAGTCATCAAGAAAAATCACAGCGACATGATTATCCTTAGTCAGTCTACTAACTGAAATCAAATTGCAACGAAACTCGGGAACATGCAAGACTCGATCCAAAATAAAACCAGGTTGTAGTTGAACTGATCCTACATGCTTCACCGGTATACTATCACCATTAGGTATACGTACAGGTTGACCATTAACTGGAACCTGCTTATTTTACAAAACTGATTCTTCCATAGTTATATGTTCATTACAACCCGAATCAAGTAACCATTCTGAGTCGAACGAAAGCATACCTGCCATATGTGCTGCGGGTTCATCGGCTACCTTCGGAGTGGAATTGAAAAAGGTTCTCAATTGTTCCAATTGTGCCAAGGTAAAACCCGCTACTGGACTTTGTTCAGAGTCAACTTGGGATGCTTTTGGTTCCCGGTTGGAACTTTCACCTGATCCACGATTGGGACGCCGCCGCGATCCCTTTTCTCCTTGTTCGTCCCGCGGCGGATACCCTATCAGTTTATAGCATGTCTCGCGAACATGGCCTAAGCGCTGGCAGTGTGTGCACTTCTGCCGTTCACGCTGCTCCCCCGTGTTGGAGCCCCTCGTTCCGACTCTCCTTTGGCAATAAAAGCTGCTGCTTCAGGTTGTATTTTGCGGTTTTGGGCAACAGATTTTTGCTGCTCTTCATTGAGCACCGTATCCATGCTTCCCTCTCAACCGAATTTACGGGCTTGGGAAGGCTTCCATTGACGAAACTGAACTTGTTCTTGGCAATGAGAGCATCTTTCATGTCAAGAACCCATTCACCATAATTGGATGCCGTCAACACGTCTCCAACCAGCATGTTGCCGGGACTATCCGAATTGGACAACAGGTAAACTGAAGGAAGACCATCTTCAGTTTTGACGATAGCGCCGTCGGACGAAACAGTGGTCCCATCCGGGAGACTCATGGCGAACGACGGCAGAAAACGCTATAGCTGAATCTACAGCTCTGATACCATGATAAATCGTAAAAGAAGGATTGCGAAGAGACGATTTTAACGTGGTTCTTCCTCACGATGTGTGAGGCTTACGTCCACAAAGATTATGTTCTCATTGATTGATTTCGGCGTCAGCCGTACACATATTTATATACCCTAATGCAGCCGACTTAACTAGGGTACAACTCTTGCCAATACAAGAAGGACTAGGAGTCCTAAACGTCGTGGAGACATGGTGTGCATGGGCTGCATGGTGGACAGGTGCGGCCGAAGCTGGATCAACATCTTCTCGGCCCAATACAGGCATTGGCACTTTGCTATAGCACAGCTAACCAAACCCTTCTTTTCATTGATGGAGAAGGAAGCAAGTTCATCATCACCGGCCGTTGCCCTTATCGTGGGGGCAACGGGGATGGTTGGGCTGAGCCTTGCGGAAGCTCTGAACAACCCTTCAACACCAGGCAGCCCCTGGAAAGTCTACGGAGTGGCTCGACGCCCATTGCCAAACTGGTTCCCAGCTTCACTCCTCCACAGCTTCATCTCAGCTGACGCCTTGGATCGTCAGGACACGTTTCTGAAGCTCTCGCCGATAGCTCATGAAGTCACCCATGTGTTCTGGGTTGCATTACAGATCCACGAAAGCGAAGAGGTGAACGTCTCTGTGAACTCCTCCATGCTGTCCAACGTTATCGACGCGATCAAATCTTCAGGGGAAAGGTGTAGCCTCAAGCACTTGACCTTACAAACAGGTAAGGACTGTGTTGACCGATTTTTTGAAGCAAATTAGTTCTGTATTTTGACACTTGAATTTCTCCATCATCTAGGGACGAAACAGTACATGGGTCCGATCGGTGACCCTGTACATGGATCCAATATTGTGATGCACGAGGCGCCGTTTGAGGAGTGTATGCCAAGGTTGCCATACCCCAACTTCTACTACGCCCAGGAAGATGTCTTGGCGTCAGCGTTGCCGCCAGAGGTTACATATTCGGTGCACCGCTCGTCCATCATATATAGCGGGTGCAACGCCGAGAAGCCTCTTCAACACGATGGTCTCCATGGGGGTTTACGCCACGATTTGCCGCTACAGAGGGTTGCCGTTGAGGTACCCGGGGAGCAGGTACACATGGGAACACTTCTGCGATATGTCTGATTCCAGGCTGTTGGCAGAGCAGCAGATTTGGGCAGCAACCACGGAGAGTGCCAAGAATCAAGCATTTAACTGCACCAACGGCGATTTCTTCACGTGGAAGAAGTTCTGGAAGGCCTTCTGTCAAGTGTTTGATGTGGAGTTCGACGAGGAGGAAGAATGTGGGTTCGATGTTGTTGGGATGATGGCGGGGATGGGACATGTGTGGGACGAGATTGTTGAGAAACATGGGTTGGTCAGGACAAAGATGGCAGACATCACTTGCTTTGATGCAGTGACAGTAGTCACCAACTTCAAGTTCCAGCATGTTTGTAGCATGAACAAGAGCCGTAAGTTCGGGTTTCTGGGTTACTGCAACACGCTAGGTTTCTGGGTTACTGCAACACGCTAGAGAGCATTCCTTACTGGGTTGGGAGGATGAGGGAGATGAAGATCATACCTTGATGACGATGAACAGATATCCTCCACGTTGGTTTCGCCTGCTTTTGTTACCTGTTTCTGTCTTCCTATAAAAAGCTTCGATGAAAAGATATGGAAACTATTTCCTTATGTATCCTCCTGCTATTGCTACTTCTTTCTGTTGCATAATAAAGCTCTGATGAAAATGCATATTGAAACAATCTCACTGAACCATCGACAGACTCAGGTAATGTAAACACACAACCTTAAACACAGCAAGACCCACAGCCACGAGACAACATCCGAAACTTTCATGGACAATTTCATATCCTTGCATGTGGTTACAGTCACAGAGACACAACAGGTTTAACAAATGTGAAAATTTTCCAACTAATGGAAGTTCAGATCCTGCCCGACACTAACCCACAAACATCAAACTCGTACAAGCTTCAACCCAGTACAATGGAGCAATACATAAGCAACCTTTACTTTTTTTTCTTTACTTCGATCACAAAAAATCTGAACGCAAATGTGCCTAAATATGCACCAATTGATGCATCATACTAATCCGAAGAAATGTTCCAGTGATGAAGAGCTGAAGACATTTCCAGGCGATCGTTCAAGCTTTGTTGGAGAGACATGGAGTTGATACTTGATAAACCTCTGCAAATCAGAGGTGGAAAAAAGGAACACAGATTGTGAGCAATAGAAAACATGCTTAGTCAGGATTTACAATCAAATTCCTCAGTCCAAATATGAAAGTGGGAGTTGCAGGAGATTTACAGCTAATTGGGTAACAATTTCAGCACTGCTGTCAATATGCCAGTCTGGTTCTAGTTGGCGAACAAAAGATGTGCGTCCAGTTTCTGTGCTGCAAAAGAGAACCTGCGAGAGCGATGGTGAACAATTTAATAGAATGAAGATTGAACAGAACTAAAGCAAAATGGATGAACAGGAACAGCAAACCAATCTTAATTGAAGCCTTATAATGTAGCACTGCTTATGGTTTACTATCACTAAATCAACTGCTTGGCTTACTCATAAACAACCTCAAGCTTGGAACACCCTCAAACACAGCAGTACAATAAGGCAACAGGTTAAATAACTAAGAGATGCTACAACATAGCAGCAAGCTAGGACAATTGGGCTTTCCTTTGTCAAACCAAATGACATTAGTGCTACTTACTGCTAGCAATTCACCTAAAGCTATGTATGGGTTGTAACTTTCAACCATCAATGGTTGCCAGAGCTGGTCACTGATACCTCAAAAGCCAGTGGATTCCAATTGCATTAATTTGCTATGAGTTAGGGCAGCCAACAGGAGTCAGTTAAACACCAGTTCATGACTTTTTCTAGGGCAAACTTGGAAGACTTATGGAATACTCATTCGTTTGCAATTGTAGGAGACTCTGGGTAATTTATTGTAAACTCAGCCAATAGTGTTTATTTAATGCTTTCCCAAGCTTTCTTAGGCAGGAGTTACGAAAGTGATTCGAGTAAAAATTATATGGACAGGTACAGTCATGTAAAGATCCTTCAATGAGAATAAATATATTTCCTGTCAATTAAAAAGCTATTAATTACCTTGTCTTTGACCAAACCCCCAGACGTGAAAACTCCCGCATTCTCTAAAGCAGCAAGTACTTTTTGCTGTAGCCAAAAAGGGAACAAGGGAAATTATTCTCGAATAGGGCCAAAAACGTAGGAGGTAAAGTAGAAAACCAAAATATAATCAACTAGCTAGTATAGGGATCAGCAAGTAGTAACTCATATAATGTCCCACACAGCATTTTCACAAGAAGGAATAGACAAAATAATGACACAAGCCACGCAAGTAACAAAATGTTCAGCATTGGAATTTGAACATACTTCACTTTCATCATCAAGAACTCTTTCCATGAGATAAAGATCACAAAACTTGGGGATCTCCAACAAAACTTCTAGAGCAGAGGATCTGACTGTTGCTTGTTTCTGTTTATAAGAAAATTAACAAAGTTAGTATTTTGAGCCACTACTATGTGACAAAATAGAAGTAGAAACTATACAGAAGTAAGGATCTGACTACCTGGAGCTCTTCCGGTGTATTTTCTTCAAGGACTACTCCAAGCAAACGACAAGTGACCTGCAAAGGAGGACAATGAAGCATTATATCTTTAGGGCATGACATTCTTGATTAAACAATAAGTTAACTCTAAGGCTGATAAACAACAGCCTTAACAATTCAGCAACCAGCAGAACTTAATGCTAAAGACCTCTGAAAGTCTAAGGAAGATCGCCCAAGTTAATATATATTGGACCTCGTCGAGCAAAGTTCACCACAATATCGAGTGATGTTAACAGGGAAAAGAAACAGCTAACTCTCCTACTTTCCAAAGGAAAAGAAAAGGAAAAAATGTGCAATACTCCACTCTGCACTCCAACAGGCAGTGAGTTATCCAGCTTCAACTTAAATAATGTCAGGATCATTACCTTTCGGCCTTCACTCAACTTTTGCCTCACTACTTGCCCCAAAGTTGGCTGAAATAAAGGAAAGAACAATAAGCATATGAGGTTCACCAAAATATATATATTTTTTTTTTAACAAAAAAGCTAAAGCTGTCAGACTAAAAGAATATTGTGCTCACTTTTACAGGATGGAAGAACTCATCAACAACATTCTGGGCTCTCAAATCCTCTGAAGACGAACCAGCTCCAGAAGTCATTGATGCTACATTTGATTGTGTCCCCGCAGAAGAAGTGCTAGTTGTAGGAGTATGTCTTTTTGGTTGCCTTCTCTGGGGCACACTAGGGGACCTCAACAATCTCCAAGTGAAAACCACTGCAAGAGCAAGGCCTGCTATGGCCCCAACAGACCGAGCATCCTGATGATAAATGGAACATGGTGAGCAGTGACCATAGGTTCTCCTTTCATCCCTGAATATGAACTAGTTCTCACCGACAAATCAGGAAAAATTCAGACAATTTAAAAAAATCGAATGAATTGGGTGACCAACTATCATAACGAAACCTTATTTGGGAAAGCTAACTGTTTTAAGTCGGTTCTAGTTGGCACAGTTCTGCTGTAACCCTGCTTGTAAAGCATGTTTGCAGCTCCATGAATTGAGATTTGTACCCAGAATTGTTATCTTATTTGAGGAACATAGTTCCACACCAACTAAGACATGATTCCAACAAACAAGTTCATCAATGGATTATTAATACTGCTGAAGTAAGCTTGGCCAACCAACAGAAAACTGGCTCTAACAGGAGGAACAGATTTTCAAAATCACAACTTTCACAAGTTCGAATAGGAATCAATCGCAAAAATCGCCACTTCATTCTGTGACGCATCACGGATTACTTCCGTGCATTTCAGTCGTCAACAACCAAAACCATAAGGGACCCAAATGATTAATTAAGAAAAATGGAACAACGCAGGAGGCCACCATCCAGTGAAGAGGGAGTGTATCGAATCAGCGGAAGCACAAGCCCTCTCATAAATCAGCAGAAAGATCAATGAATTCCCTAACCCAGGAAAGGAACAAACGATAAGAGAGCAAGGGAGTCGGCAAGAACCAGATTGCGGAGTGAGATCGGGATGAAATTCGACATCTTAACGCTCAAATAAGCTCCAAACCGCTTGATCAGCTGCAAGAGCTCTTCCTTGGATGACTCAGCCATCTCCGAGCTTAAAAATCTGTTCCTTCAATCCCTCTCTCCCCCTAGAAAATCTCTGTTCACCAGCACCCAGCCAATCGTCAGCACTCCGCCTTTTCGCTAGAGCCAAAAAGAGTGATCAAAATCCTCCCTGCTCCGCCGCTTGGTCAGAGAGATTAGGTTCTCCGGTCTTCCGCCATCGATTTATGCAGTATCGAGAGACGGAAAGAGGAAGGATGGGGCAAAGAAGCCTCCTGTTTCGCGTCAACAATCGGTTGGGAAAGAGGAAGAGAGATAAATTGATGCGTTTTTCCTTTACTATTTGTTTTGTAATTTATTTTTATTTATCCTTAGAGGTGACCGAACCTAACTCGTGAAAATGACGATGCATAAGTGAAAAGCATCTTATAATCAATGACTAGATCATTCTTGTATTTGGTCTGTTCGCTTAAATTTGATCTGGTTCTAAGTCCATCATTTTTCAGTCATTTTAAAATTCATTATCATTCTTAGTCTCTCGTTGGATTTGAAAGTTGAAGATTTTGGTTAAAATGAAGATTTTTAAAAATCAAGGATTTATGATCGGTTTATTATTGGTTTGGTTCGTTAGAAATTTCAATAGTTTGTTGTTGGGTTAATTGCAAGGTTGGTCACTGAGATTATTAAAAACGGTCATGTTTAGTCATTAAAAATATTTAATTTCATTCGTGGTCACTAAAATTAGTAAAACATTTCAAGTTCGGTCACTCTCCGTCCAACTCCGTTAACTTTGACTGATGTGGCAGTCAACTTTCAAAGTTGACCATTAAATGTGTGACGTAGCAGTTAAAAAATAATAAAAATTTTATATTTATATTTTAAATATTTCACCTAATTATTATCATCACTAAAAAAAATAAAAATAAAAACCTAATTCTTATACTACCTCCGCCACCGCTTTCTCCTCCCGACTCCACCCGCCGCCATCACGGCTAAAGGTCCGACATCAGCGTCGTCTTGTACAACCCAAGAATTTTCGAGCAAGTAGGGGTCACCTCGGCCGATGACAAGCTCTTGGCCACAATCGTCGTGGGAGTAATGAAGACGGTTTTCACCATAGGTCGGACGACGGCCCCTACTTCTGACGAGCTACGCCGGGGTGATCGTCTCGTTGCTCACACTTGCAACCAGCCTCATGGTCATCAATCGAGATCCGACCCAGAAGGTCCAATGGGCGGTCAATCTGTCAGTCTCTATGGTGCTCTCAGGAGTGGCGTTCTTCTCAATTGGGGTCGACCAGGTCATCCGCCGGCGAGAGCGCTTCCCCCTCCGATACGTATCTTTCCTCATTACAACATAGAATGCCAGGGGGAAAACGAGAAGGTGAAATCTTTTCCTTCTAACCATCAATCAATCCCAAACCCATTTGATTCACAAGGTCCCGTAACTAACCAATATTATCTGTTAGAAAGGATTGCAACCAAAAGAAACGAATAAGATACCTAGGGTTCGGTTTGTAGTTTCAAGGAAGAAACAGGGCAAGAAAGATTACCCTGTCGCTTTCTTTCTATCTTCACGTTGTAGAAAAGGAAAGGAACGAGGAGTGAGCGCCCAGTCGAAGGGTTGGGCACGGATAGTTTTACTGATTCCGTTCAAGCGCCTCGATCTGTCCTTCTCGTTTCTCAACCGGCGACAAATGGCTTAGGTGACGACAAATCTTCGTCTCCTTCCCGTGTCCTCAAGTCGGCAAGGCTGCCATGGTGCGAGGTGGCCTTGCATCACCAGCCATCGAGGAGATTCCGACATGACTAAGGTTGAAACGCTGATGTCGGACCTTCAGCCGTGATGGCAGCGGGTGGAGACTTAGGGCCGGGAAAATAGACCAGACCGTTAGAAAAATCGTGGTCCAAACCGTACCGCACAGTTTGGTCCGGACCGTAGACCGTGAAGTATGGTCTGGTCCATGGTCTGTATTATTTTATGATTTGATCTCTTGGTCTGGTCTGGTCTAGACCGCGGTTTACCGGACCAAACCGTAGACCCAACTGACTTGTCAATACGTGTTAACAACCCATTCGACCACTCTCCAAACTCCCACAACGACATCCAAGTCTCAACCTTAATTTTGTGAATCTCTTCCCTCCTTCATTCACAACCACATTTAACCACAAAGTAGAGATAATCGTGTCTCCATATGACATTATGTTAATGTGTATGACATTATGGTGCAAGCCGAGATGCTTTTACTTTGTATCTTTGTTATGTACTAAGATTTAGAGTATCAAAATTATTCATGCATGTTAGGATTAATGTTTTAAGGCAAATAACAATTATTTGTCTTGGTTATTGGTTCAAGTTTTTGTGTGGTTGACTAAACAAATTATTCATTTTTCGTTGAGTGTGGTCTATCTGGACCAGACCAGACCGAACCAGACCGCACAGGCGTGGTCTGGACCAGACCGTATAGTCTGTGGTCTGGTCTGTGGTCTATACTTTAGCCTCTCGGTCTGGACCGTAGACCGTATATATGGTCTGGTCTGGACCAGACCGCACCGTTTCCCAGCCCTAGGTGGAGTCTAGGAGGAGAAAGCGGGTTCGGCGGAGGTAGCAGAAGAATTAGGTTTTTATTTTTAATTTTTTAGTGATGATAATAATTAGGTGGAATATTTAAAATGTAAAATTTTAATTTTTTATTATTTTTTAACTGTTACGTCACATATTTAACGGTTAACTTTGATAGTTCACTGTCACATCAGCCAAAGTTAACGGAGTTGGACGGAAAGTGACCGAACTTGAAATGTTTTACTAATTTTAGTCATCACGAATGGAATTAAATATTTTTAGTTACTAAACATGAACGTTTTTTTTACTCTCAGTAACCAATCTTGCAATTAACCCGTTTGTTGTAGGATTTGTTAATGGATTTTAGGTTATGAATTTATCACTTTAAAGGATAATTTACCTTACCACCCTTACTTCATTTGTTTTATATTTGGTGGCAAGACAACTTGGATCATTTCATGTACTAAAAACTAGTGTGTGATTCAAAATTAATTTGTTCATATACAATCTAAACTCAATTTATGGCGTGAAACCCTTTTAACAATCAACAGATATCACATAATGGAACATTACAATTTCAAAGACCATAATTATAAAAAAGAAGCAATATAGACACAACGTTTTAAAATCACCTCAAACCTTCCAGAGAAAGAAAATAAACCACCACTCCTTTCACACGCACATAATCAACATAACTAGCTTCAACAACAAAATTAGAGTTAAAATAAATAATTGTTAAATGGACAATAAGATAATTGTTCATCAAAGATTTGGTCCCCTATCCAAATTTCAAGAAGAATCCAAACCTGTGAACCCTACCAATTAAGCATCCATCAAGTCAAGCAAAACAAGAAATACCTTAAATTTATGTACAAATCCATCAAATTTGGAATTCGGACATTTAGCCATCTACATTGTCAAAAACTCAAAATAGTGACACAATGATTGTCACGTGAACTAGGTAAGAACATTTATGGATGACGTTAAGATGAAAATAACCAAATTACTGAACATTGATACACTAATCCCTTCAAAAATTGGTTCAATATTTTTGTAGGCTGAAATCCTCTCTTGTGTTTAAACCATTAAAATTATAGTTTGTACAGTCGTATTGGTTGATCATTTATCTCTTGTACTGAATCATTGTTCAAATTGGGAATTGTTATAACGATTCGAAACCATAATCTCTTGGTCGAAAACTCTAACATCATGTTAACGAACAAACCATTTGGCACAATTAAGTTGTTGTAAAAGCGTTTGTTAAGTTTTATCTCTTCCACGGCTAGACCAAATCGGGGGGGGGGGGGGGGATTCAATGTTGAGTAGAGGTGGCAATTAGGATCCAAATCCATGAATCCAATCTAATCCATCCACCAAATTATCCACCTAATCCAATCCATTTAAATCCAATCCATTTGATCCAAATCCAATTGGATTGGTGGATTCATGGATCAATCCAAGGATCCAAATGGCAAATTACGATTTGGTACCTATATTTTTTATATTTTACATTTTGGTACCTAAAATTTATATTTTTACACGAAAAATATCATTGGAAAATTACATTTTGGTACCTAAAATTTTTCATTATGACATTTTAGTACCTAAACTTTTCAAAATTTACATTTTAGTCCAAGCCTTGGATGTTATTTGGATTCATGGATCAATCCACCAATCCATTGGATCCAATCCATGAATCCACCAATCCATTAGATCCAATCCATTTGATCCATGGATTCACGAATCCGATCCACGGATCCACGAATCCGATCCAATTGCCACCTCTAATTATTGTTGAGTGTTGACACACAATGGAGTATGGACCGCTTGGACTAAATTTTGCATTACCGAAACTGATACAACTAGTTTTAATCGCAAGAAGACTTGGGTTTGTTTAAAGCAGGATACACGGGTAGTAAACATGAATTATCAGTTATCACTGTTGGGGGTTAAAGGGATTTCGTGCGATGATGTGCAGCAGGACTGCCAGCAGCTGGTTTCTGGGTCGACAAAGAAGCCAATTTCCCGTCTTCTTGTTCTTCTTCGTCTTCTTCCACAAGAGAAACTTCAGTAGTAGTATTAGTAGTGCTGGTAGAGCCACCAGCATGGCCATCATCCACCATAACCACTGGCTTCTCAATCCTCAGAACGCTGCCGTTCACCAGCATCTCCTGTTCCAGGTGGGCACAGTAGCTCTCGAACACCCGACAAGTTACAGTAACGCCGTAGTCCAGGAGGATCAACAGCTCCATTTCCAGCTTGTTCAGTTCTGCGTTGCTCACTCCCCCAACTTTGGCGTAGAATGCATTGCTCTGGTGCCTTCACTCACACCACCACCACAACAACTAATAATTTCAGCAGCTTAACGAGACTTACAGAAACCAAATTGAGGCGCAAAACTGACAATTCCCCTTTCATTTTTTTTTTTTTTTTTTTTTTATGACGAGGAACACCCTCCACGGTCACCACCTTTGGTGATGCCGTAGTCGGGCCAAACCCCGGGACCTCCGCCAGCAGTCCGGGCAAATGCGGGTGCCTCCGGGAACACCATGGTGGCGGTGAGGATCGAACCTGAGACCTCTCGGTCACTAGTTCGCCTTCCTTACCACCAGGCTATGTGAGTCAGGTCGTCCGAATCGCAATTCAACCACGATTGACGATTTTTTTTTTTTTATCAAACAAACATAAACCCATTTGCAGAAGCCTAAGAGCAGAGGAAGCAGCTAGGGAGAAGAGACAGAGAACTCACACATCATCGAGCATCTTGGAAGCAACCAAGATGCTAGTGACGAGCAATCGATGGACATTGAGGGAAACCAAGAGAGAATCAGGGTACTTATGAATCAGCCGATCGATGTAAACATAACCCACCACGAAGCACGAAGGGCTGCAATCGGTGTACTTGAACAGCCTCTCCAGGTACTTCAATATGCTTATATTGGGCGCCCTGACGCCATGAAACGCATTCAAGCTCTTCCCACCATCAGCACCTGCCAGCAGCCGGTCGTTTCTGGCCACGAGCTTCTCCAGTACATGGGCAAGGATGGTTAGCACCCTCGGCGTGGCTTGCTCCGATTGGCTCGGCTCCGGCTGCCGCGGGCTGCTGGTTGGTATGAGCTCTCCGGTGGCGAACATTCATGCCAACATTGCCTGGGGAAAAAAAGGAATGACCTTTTTTTGGTTTTGGGGGTTGGATTTGTTAAGGAAGTGGTGGCTGCTGAGGCAAGTTTGAATGGAAGGCTGTTGTCATGTGTTTGTGTTATCTGGATGGTGTGGGGTTGGTGTAATGGGTTGCTGACACGTGGAAGATGCTGATCTCTGTCCCCGGATTATTCCTTTTTGACAAGTCAGTGCAATTGGGAAGTGGATGGGAACATGAAAGGTAGGGCTAAAAATGACCCTCTCATCTCATCATAAACTGTATCCACTCTCGTCTCAATCTTGGTCTGTGTGGAATGAATGAACAAGGCACGTCAAAGAAGTTGCCTAGAGTAGACAGCATTTAAAGAAGGCCCGAGGATCCCAAAATGGGATTTCCCCTCAAAAATTCTCAAAATACAGAAGGTTATGTTTCCTGCATTGCGCACCCCAGATGTGAGACTCTGTCATGTGTTCCCGCCCAGTGGTCAATGTTCATTGTGATGCACCCAAATCGCTGAGCTAGATAACGGTCCAACCTTTGATTTCTTGCAAAACCAGTAATCCATGTGCATCGTTTTCGCATTCAGCGATGAAAAATTCATAGTGTTTGTCTAAAGCAATCAGTGAGCAAATCGCTTGTGTCTGAAGCAATCTGCTCCAAATATGTATAATTTGAGAAAGGCTTAATTGCAAGTTTGGTCACTCGAATTGCTATAAAATTTCACGTTTGCCACTCAAATTAATTTATTCCATTTATAGTCACTCGAATTAGTTAAACAGTTCAAGTTCGGGCACTCTCCGTTAACTTTGACTGACGTGGCGGTCAACTCTGACAGTTGACCGTTAAATGTGTGACGTGGCAAATAAAAATTAATTAAAAATAAAAATTAAATTTTTAGAAATTACACATCATTATCACAAAAAATTATAATTATAAAAAATAAAATAAAAAATTCCTTCCACGTAATTATCACAAAAACAAAGCAAAGAGAATTTTGAAGTTTGTGTTGTTTGTTTTTGTTCCCAACCAGCGGATGGGCAAAAAGTTCTTAACCTACTTATGAGTTCCCAACCAGCCAAATTTGGATAAATAATAAGTGGTTCATCAATGCTCGAGTCCGGCTGTGGAAGCCAATGGTGGAGGAAATGTACATGGAAGAAATGAAGGATCAGGAACTGAACGGGACAGCAGGAGAGAAGGCCACCAAAATCGATCACAACAACAACAACGAGGATTCGTCTTCCAAATCTGTTTCATTCCATGAGACCCAAATAAGAAACTCGTTCAGCAACAATTCACAAAACCAGCATGTGCCCTCCGGGATTTCAATGATCTCCACCGGAGCTTCAACTTCCCCTGCTGCCACCGCTGGCATCCTCCGAAATCAGCACTCAGCTTTCTCCCTAACTTCCCCTGCTGCCGCTGCCATCACCCACCAGCGTGGTGTCCACCATGGATGTGAAGCCCGACCATGATTCGAGCGACGATCAACTGATTAAGTTCGTGGACGAGAGGCAGAGCAGAGATCATGGCGGGTACTCGTTCATGGGAGCCCAGACGAACTTCATGGGAGCAGCATTTGGACAGTACCCAATTGCAGAGATTGAAAGATTCAAAGCGGAACAGTTCACTCAGAGATTCTCCGGCAATGGAGTCTCGCTTAGTCTCGGCCTTCCACACTGTGAAAACCTCGCGCTGCCAGCTACCCACCACACATTTATCCCCAACCATAACATTCCTCTAGGGAGGAGGCTCGACCTGGGAGAATCGAGCGAGTTTGGGGCTATTACCACCTCTGCGCCTCACTCGTCGACGACGACATTTGAGAGCATCAATATACAGAACAGGAAGGAGTTTGCTGCACAGCTTTTGCCGGACTTCGTGACCTGAATCGGCCGCCGGTAAAGCAGAAGAAAAGCACTTCGGGATAGGTAAGGAAGTGCATGATGGTTATTGGTGAACGAAAGCTGGCTGATCGTGCAGGTGGAAAAGCAGATGGCTTTTTTACGTTTTAGTATAGGTTCTTTATACTTTGGAGTTTGTGTTGTTTGTTTTTTGTGATAATTACGTGGAAGGAATTTCTTTTTTTCATTTTTTATAATTATAATTTTTTGTGATAATGATGTGTAATTTCTAAAAATTTTATTTTATTTTTTAATTATTTTTTATTTGCCACCGTCACACATTTAACGGTCAACTGTTAGAGTTGACCGCCACGTCAGTCAAAGTTAACGGAGAGTGACCGAATTTGAACTGTTCAACTAATTCGAGTGACTATAAATGGAATAAATTAATTTGAGTGGCAAACGTGAAATTTTATAGCAATTCGAGTGACCAAACTTGCAATTAAGCCATTTGAGAAATTCTTATAAAATTATTGTATTTTGAGCATCTATTATAGCAATGTATGTATTTTAGGAAAATAATTATCCAAAATGTGATAGTTAGGTGAGTCTAGCCATCTAGGGTGGGCATTGTGTAACTCACCTGGAATGAAACCTATTCAGTATAAATTGGATATGATACAGTTTACATAATTCTCATTTTTCACTTAGTTCAACTTTTTCTTTGTAAAAAAATGACATGAGAATCATAGAGAAAAGAACATTAAGTTGTATTAATTGGAGTTTGATTTCATCTAAAAAGTCTATCAATTCCCAATTGAATAGGATCAACGATATACATTGTTAAGTACCCCATCGTGAGTATCCAACCCAATTAACTAGGAAATCTCCACATTTATAGGGTAAGGGTGGGCAAGGGTGTAAGTAATACCCACAAAGGAAATGGTGTAGGTGAGTCGGGATGTGTTAATTAGCCCATGTCCCATCCTTATATCCATAATTATCTCGCATATAATTCTTATACTACTTTCACTCAATTACGTGTCATCTTATCATTCTCTTATCCATTTTTCACTAAAATTTAAAATTATTATAACTCTTAACTCTATAAGCACCTTCACTTCACTCTTCAAATTCCACTAATACATATATGCCACCTTTTAACCCTAATTTACCCTATGATTTTAATATTTTATTATGTTTCTCATATGATACCAATTTGTTAGAAGTATTTATCTAATTATGTATCGTCTCTAAGTTCATTAGCCAAATCTAAATTGCTAATAAGGGTGAACAAATTATTATATGCAGGTCAATGACGTATATCATAGACATAGAGATCAAAGTATCAACTACCAAGAAGTGAAATGTAATTGCCTACTGCAGCAAAAGTAAAGCAATAACATGACTAGCGGTTAATCCTTGGTTGACTTACCAACATAATAAAACGGTGTTGGGGAGGACATGCCAACAACATTTCAATGTGCATGTAATACTCATGATAATGATGTGATATCGACTAGCGCGATATTCAATTCTCGTGGTCCCAAAATGAAGGTTCGAATTCAACGATTTAAGGATCAATTGGGAGCATTCTTGATGGATAAAATGGAGAATGCATTAAGGATCGGGCCTACAACATTTCTTGGAGCCCAAAACGTCCATCCTTGCTGCCCAAGTCATCCAAATGTGAAAAGGACAAGGAAAGAGATTGCTTAACCACTAAGGAGCTTCCTTAAGCATGAAAAACGTGTTTGGAGATTACTTAGCTGCTAAGGAGCTTCCTTTGGTCATAAAAACGAGTTATAGTCCTTATTTAAGTAGTATTATGTTTCCTAGTTAGTTTGGGATTTGTTTTCTTATTCCTTTTAGGTTAGTTTTATGTTTTTGTGACCTCTATAAATAGAGGATGTAAGAGCTACGAATTTTGTACCCAACATTCAAGTTTCAGCAATCAAATACAAGTGTTTACAAGTTCAGTTTTGCTTATTCGCTCCTTTGAGGATTCGGGAGGTTTGAGTGGTCTCTTATCAACTAGAGAACGCGTCTAGTTGTGGCGAGCATCGACGATATCGGTTGGCCTCTTCCACGGGTTCGAGATTGTTTGGAAGGTTTCATATATCTTCTGGCCCTTCTCACGAGTTCGGATTTGTTTGATCGATTCCGCAAGTATCTTTATTTTCGTGCTATTCAAGAAAGGCGAAAACTCAAAAAAGAGTTCGACGTTGTGCAATTCTAATTTTTGGTCCAAGTTCGAGGGTCTCTTCGAATTAGGATCATATCAAGTGGTATCAGAGCCTGGTTTGAGGATTACCGGTTCAAACTCAGCGGCAAAAAGCAATAATGGCGGAGAATCAAGCGAATCAAGACATTGCGGCAACATTACGACAAATCAACATGCAAATAGAAGCTTATCGTCAAGGGCAAGCACAAATAGATGCGAGCCTTTCTCGATTGGAGGTTTCATGGGGAATTAGTGCACCAGCCGTAGTAATCCAACCAGAAGCTCCGTTGCAGATAGGGAATCCAAATCCAGAACAAGAGCAATCTTTTGAGGTTACCATAGCGACACAAGAGACAAGTCCAGAAGTCTTTGACATCGAGATTCAAGCATATCAGGTAGAAGATATTCAGAGCCAAACGACAATACAACATCAAGACGAGGAGGAGTATATTGAAATCTCGCCTATGGAAGGTCCACTTTTGGATACTTCTTGTGAAGAGTATAAAGATTTCGATGAAGAAGAAGCGATAGAAGATATTTTTGTTAGTGTTCCAGATTTGAGTGCACCAAAGGAATCAGAATTTCATGGAGAAGATGAAGTCATGAAAGTCATGGAGCATTTACCAATTGTTCCAGAAGTTGCTCATATTGATTTTATGATTGGAGATACTATTTCTGAAGAGGAAGCCCGGATAGAGAATCGACGAGAAGTTCAGAGTTACATAGAGGGTTTTCATCATTATTGTGTCTCAACAATTCGTGGACGAATTGTTTTTAAGAAGGGGGGAATAATACGATGCTCACCAAGACATTTTCGTTCGAAGACCAAGAAGAGTGGCGGTGATCATGGTTCAGGATTCTATAAAGATTCGAGGTCGAATCTTCTTCAAGAGAGAGGGAATGATGCGATATCGACTAGCGCGATATTCAATTCTCGTGGTCCCAAAATGAAGGTTCGAATTCAACGAGTTAAGGATCAATTGAGAGCATTCTTGATGGATAAAATGGAGAATGCATTAAGGATCGGGCCTACAACATTTCTTGGAGCCCAAAACGTCCATCCTTGCTGCCCAAGTCATCCAAATGTGAAAAGGACAAGGAAAGAGATTGCTTAACCACTAAGGAGCTTCCTTAAGCATGAAAAACGTGTTTGGAGATTACTTAGCTGCTAAGGAGCTTCCTTTGGTCATAAAAACGAGTTATAGTCCTTATTTAAGTAGTATTATGTTTCCTAGTTAGTTTGGGATTTGTTTTCCTATTCCTTTTAGGTTAGTTTTATGTTTTTGTGACCTCTATAAATAGAGGATGTAAGAGCTACGAATTTTGTACCCAACATTCAAGTTTCAGCAATCAAATACAAGTGTTTACAAGTTCAAGTGAAAGTTTTGCTTATTCGCTCCTTTGAGGATTCGGGAGGTTTGAGTGGTCTCTTATCAACTAGAGAACGCGTCTAGTTGTGGCGAGCATCGACGATATCGGTTGGCCTCTTCCACGGGTTCGAGATTGTTTGGAAGGTTTCATATACCTTCTGGCCCTTCTCACGAGTTCGGATTTGTTTGATCGATTCCGCAAGTATCTTTATTTTCGTGCTATTCAAGAAAGGCGAAAACCCAAAAAAAGAGTTCGACGTTGTGCAATTCTGATTTTTGGTCCAAGTTCGAGGGTCTCTTCGAATTAGGATCATATCAAGTGGTATCAGAGGGAAACACCTCCGACCAACTCATCTCGGGTCGATCACTACCTTCAACCCACCGCCACATCAAGGGAAACAGAACAACCGGACGGTCGGCAGAAGAGACCGAGAGTTAGAATACAACTATCTTCAAGCTCTCCCAACCGGATCCACGCCAAGGCCTACATCTCCGACTCACCAAGATCTGCAAGGCAAAGACAAGGAGGTAGACCAAAGGAGGAGGGAGGAGAAGACAAGTCGAGTCTGCGTCAGATCTGACCTCATCGCAACAAGAACTGGGCAAACATCTTCATATCTGAAAACCAAATCGAAGGACAAAACAACAACCCACAGAAGGGGCACAAACAGAACCCACACAGGGGTGAAAAGATGACAAAAAAGGCTGGAAAACAAAGCACGAGATGTAGGGGAAGAACACCGAAACCAAGAAAAGAGCAAGGGAAAGCGAGATGGAAAATCAGAGGGGTGGAGGGTTGTCGCGGTCGTCGGAGGAGCGCTGGCAGCAGCCCCCATGGAAGCCTGGACAAACTTGTTAGAGAGAAGGGAGAGAATTTGAAAAACAAGAGAGAGAATGATATTTCGGATTTTAGGAGGTGGTAAGTGTTAAATTTAGTTGTTGCTTAGTTGATATGAAAGGTCTCGTTTGCTTGTTAGATTTGAAAATGAAGGTTTTGAACTTTGAAAATCTTTAGATTTATGATGAATTTATTGAATTTTGTATTTGAAAGATAACATTGTTGTTTAGTTAATTTTTTGTATCATGGATTTATTTGATTTGATATTTGGGTCTCAAAAATTTCTATAACCAAATACCAAATGAAATATGGTATTTGCAAATACGTGGGGTCTATAGATTTGGAGCTGGAAAAGTGTCCAAATTTGTGGACCCACGAATTTGCATACCTTAACAATCAATGGTTTTGCCCAAAAACATGATGGCTGGTATTTGGAGACCAATCCAACATTCAAATTCCATTAGCAAAACACCGGGCAGTTTACCAAAAAAAAAAACTAATAAATATCATAAAATAAGTAAATCACTCCTCTTTTCCTTTTTTTTAGAACATTTTCCTTCTTTCTCTCAACAATTTTGCCGAAGGATCAATGAGCATTGCTATTCGTCGCCCTAAAATTCCTTATTTGTCGCCCTAATTAAATTAAATTTACTTTAATGACCTTAGTTCATTTATTTGTTGGGCTGTGCGGTCTCGAGGTGACTTGTTGGCCAGTGGCGGACCCAGGAAATTTATGTAGGGGTATACCTTCAAAAAATTTCGATAATTACCCTTTCAAAAATTAAATTAAAAAATATTAAATGAGAATATATCCAACTAGTACAAGTTACACAAAAGTCAACGATGGGTTATCATAGTTTGGAAAAAAAAATTGTAAAATTAAATACACTCACTGCCTATAATGCTTAATAAATCTCCTTCGATATATCCTATTAGACTATTATTCATGAACTGATAGTCTATTCGATTCCGAGACTTGTTCTTGATCTAACCCTAAGTTAGATAAGATCTCTCAATACCGGTAAAATCAGTACAACTTTGAGGAGCAAATTGACCCACATATATGATAGATTCCATTTGTCTCAACTATCAACTAAGCTAATTCATCATTTTCTCTCAATCCACAAAATAACTAATCATTCTTAACACAATGATAAAAATTCTCAAAATCCTGTAGAAGAAAACAATAAAAAGGTGACCAAACTCTTTAAGATAAAATCATGTTAGCAGTGAGGATAATGGGTAGTTCATAGGTTTAATTTTACGCTTTGAGAAATTTAGATATAAGAGCTACACATTTATAGTTACATTTATGACAAAGTTACAACATAAATAAAGTGTAATCGAATAGAAAAAAACGTTCACTAATAACTACTATGCTATAAATTTGAATCACATATATTTCAACTAAATCTATTAAATTTTTTTTATACACAAACTACTATCGGGGTTCATTATTTTTTCTCCCAAAGTTTAGGGATGTCCCTAGCTTCCACCTGGATCCGCGGTCCGCCCCTACTGTTGGCCGGAGGAGACTCTCCGCTGCTGCTTCTCATTTCACCGTTGCTGGTGAAAAGGAATAGGAATTCATTGTCGTTGTTCCCATGAGCTTTCGTTGATTGTTATAGTACCACAATTGATACCTTTAAGTTTGAGTTTTTTATTCATTTCCGTCAATCCAGCTTGCTCCCTGCCCAATCTAACCTCCCACCACCATCAAAATTCAGAGGGGGATAGGATTGGTTGGTGGCAGATCGAAAGTTGGATTTGTATTAGGGGCAAAAAGAGAATTGTTCCCTGCCCGATCCCACTTGTGCCCAGACGTAAACACTACCCGCCCCTACCTTCGCCAAAGTCCAAACGCCTGCTTTACCCGGTTGTCCTACCTGTCGGACGAGTTGGAATCCCATCTTCAGCGAGGTTGGACGGATGTCGTCCGACGAGTATACCCAACAAAAAAAATTAATTCCGGCAGCAGAATAGGTTGCAGATGTGGTCGGGAAGTCTACGATAGCCTTTGTTCTTTCTCCTCCTTGCCTTGGGTTCGCTGGCTGGGCACACACAGGATAGAATTAATGGGCGGTCGACCGTCTTTGTCAAGAGAAGGGTGGAGGAATAAATATGTCAATTTGTTGTATTTTAGGGCGATAAAATTTGAAGTCCTAAAATTTAAATTTTAGAACGACTGAATAGCGATTTAGAGGATCAAGGATGTGTAGAAACCTTTTTTTACTAGAAATCATCACACATAAATTAGTAATTGTCTTTTTAAAATCAGAAAAACAATTCAACTTATTAATTACCGGTAATTGTGTTGGAAATTTTTTATAAAAGGCACAATCACTTATGAATTGACAAATGAACCAAGATCCAAGAGTCATATTAGTAAGATCGGTTAGCATGCTAACCCTTCTAAGGGATTGGAAAAATTACACACCTATTAATTATAGTTATTTTTTGTATTAAATTCGTGTTGCATTTAATAATCTTTGTAAATTAAAAACTCATCTTAATTACATTCTTTTTTTTTAACTACCATTGCACTGATACAACTACCACTGCACTTGTATACTAAACTCATATTAATTACGTTCCTTTTTTGGAACTACTATTGCACTGATACATCTACCATTGCACATGTACACTAATACCATTGCGTTTATACAACTACCAGTGCACTGAAAAAAGAAAAGTAATTAATATGTGTTTTTAATTCATACAGATTATTAAATGCAACACAAATTAATTACTTTAAAAACCTATAATTAATAAGGGGTGTCATTTTTCCAACCCTAAAAGATAGGTATGCTATCTCTTGAACATTTTATTTAAGATTGTAATTAAGATATTATGAATACATTGAGATCATCAAGAGATTATAAAAACTTTTTAAGGTAGTTAAAAATATTAAAAAGAAACTTAAGAGATGGAAAATATTTGAACGTACCAATGTAAATATTTGAGTGGAGTTGAATCAAACTCTAAATTTCCGAGAATATTCACCTAATAACTCGTGTGATATTCCGTGACGGTATAGATGGTCTTGGTACTAGACAGAAAGAGGAGACCGCCCGGCGTCTCTGTTCCTTTGGGTTGTCAATGATACAGTAGATTAAATCAAGGCCTACAAATTTTCAAGGCCACCTTTTCACTTGAACAGAAACTTCAGTATTGCTTGTATCAATAACATCAGTAAACTTGTATATATCTACTATTCTCTTTCGAGTTTCGAGTGCAACATCCTATCCCTTCTATTAACATCAAAACTGAAGCAGTAAGAGAATACAGGTATTGAAACTGCCGCCAAAAAGGGTAAATGGAGGATCATCATGTTCAACAGAGCTCAGGCGACTGTGTGTATCTATACGTTGTGATCACTAGAAGCAAGCAGTTTTAACTTCTCTTCCTCTGCTGACATCTCGCTCATTGAGATCTGAGTGGTTGACTTGGAATTCATCTTGTTCCATTCATTCTCAACCCGGAAAAACACCCACTGGAAACGCCTGAAGATCTCCAAGGCAGCTATCGCAAAAACAGTCAGGTAGTTGTGCCGTAGATGAGCTGAGAGCTTGTACGTCCATGTGCACCGCAGAATCAAATTGCTCCCAATGACCCAAAAGTAAACCTGCAACAGATAGCTTGCCAGTTACCTATGACAACTAGGAACAACCAGTCCAAGAACTCATATCATCAGCTTGGAAATCAAAATTTCCTTTGCCCTTCTTTCTAGTATTTACTTCTATTTGTTAATGGGCACTTAATCCATATCTGTGGGGAAATTAACGAGTAGTCAAGTTTGTGCAAAGATATTAAGATCAATATCACAGAGTTATCTTGATCTCAGAACTAATCCGGATGAAGAACCTATGCAAAATTAATTTGGGCATTTGACTGCACGAACTTACCCATTTCCTTCCATGCAATATGTATGACCAGATACTCGGCCTGTTGAATTTGAAAATCCGAGTGAAGCCACTGATACAAGAAAAAAAGGATTAACCAAAAGGTCCAAGTGGAGAATCTTGTTTATAAATGTCAAATTAGGAATATCAAGTACAAAAAATCAAGTCAATGCATCAAATTATTGATAAATTGTAAATTTTGGGAAACTGAATTGGAAGCATCCACCATACCTTAAGTCCCAATCTCGGGTGACATCCCAATAGAAGGAATATAAAGAGTTCAACACACTTGAAAGAAGCCACAGAGGACGATAGAAGTTTGTCCACCTCTCAGGGAAGACATGATACTTTAGTGCTGATAGGAAAATGACTGGAACCGCAGTTGAATACTTCAAGGCTGAAAGGGCAAGGAAATGAAGCTAGTATAGTGTCAGCGAAACCAACCATAACAAAGATATCTTGCCACCAAATTTGCAGAGTAAGTCCTTAGAAAAGGAGGGGGATATAGAAAAAATAGGGTAATGTATCAAGAAGAGAGAGGGGGGCTAGTACAAAAACTAGTACCATTAAAAAGAGATGTTCTTTCCCTCGTATCTTTATATTGCCGAAGACACTGGAATAGCCGAAACAGATAAGGTAGAACAAGAACCAAAGGGATTGCAACAGAGTGGCTACCACAAATAGAGTCTGCTTCAAACCATGCAATGGTTGCAACCTGTAAAAATTCAATCAAATTAATAGCAACAGCAGAAAAATGTTCCTCATAAAAACACACACCATAATGAAAATTCCTCAAATCATTAATCCAGGGGTGGATGTTAATGGCTTGAGCTATACGTTCACAGTTCGACGAGTACTTGCACTATAGCAACCTCAGTTCAAACCAACTTAATTCTCCCTTTTACATAAAGATATAAAGCTAGTCAAGTGGGTTGCTTTATTACTAGTAAAGCATAAGGGTTACAAGCCAGCCAAAAAATAACACCATCTGAATACGAACCTGTCGGTGAACCATTCGACAAACTGAACGCTCCAGATCAGAAAAGACCTGCAAAGGAACAATGTGCAGCTAAATGTCAAAAGCCCCCTTTTTCCCCATATAATTGACATCAGAAGAATACAGAAATCATGAAGACAATTTTTCCAACATACTCAAAATTACAGGTCACCCAACATTATTTATTGAATATTCAAGTCTATTAACCAAGGTTAAGCAAACGAATTAACATACGGATCATAATATCTAGGATATAATATATACCTTGGACATTGAGGTTAAGATATCAGCCAAGAAGAAGTCAGCAAATGTAATTGCCTGCAACAGAAAAATAAAACCATAAAGCATGACTATCATTACTATAAACTCTTCACATTACAGCCAGGAAAGAGATTAACAGTTTCCAAAAAAAGTGTCGGGCCTGGCTCCTCTTAGAAAACAAAGTAAAAATAAGGTCTACAGGTGTTCCACTAGATGGATATGCAAAGGACATTCAGCACCAGGGGGAGATCTTCAGACAATTATAGGATACAACTATGAAATGCTATACAGCGATACAGCACCAGAGTAAATGGCTACTTGCCTGTAGAGGGAAAACTATCCGCCAAAGGGTCCTCAACAAGAAGTAGCGCGACGACAAGTAGAATATATCGAAGGGGAATATCAAAAGCATTGCAACAGCACAATAGAGTAGAACCTGTAGTACAGGGAAGAGTAAATTAGTATTCTTAGAGACGTAACAAGAGTTTATTTTTTTCTTTTCTGAAGTCATGCCACATGCAAACTAATTATAGAGAAAATAGCAAGCTACATTGTGGATGTTCAGGTAGCATGTCAAACCGTTTGGTCAAAGTTCATCACTTATGTATGCTTTATGCAGTTATTTAAAGTGAATGCTCTCACCACTTCCAAGTTTCTGATAGTTCTAATTACTGTTATAGCTCATGGTATTAATGTTACCATATTAGACCATGAAACAATCATGGCAAATAAAATCCTATATTAGTCTCATAACCATGTACGTCTTACTGATAAAGGCCAAAAGGTCACTTTATTCAAGTGTAGATATATACACATCCATCAGCCACATATACAGATACACAAACAACTTACACGTGCCTACCCACCCACCCACCTATCGTAATTCATTCCAAATCGAGTCGACCTTAAGAGTCGAGGTACCAATCATCACCTTGGTAACTCTTTAAGAAAATTCAATGGTTTCTGCATTTCTAGAAAACTGAGCATCAGGTATATCCTTAATCTAAGCAACTTAACAATCAGAAGAAGCCATAGGCCAGTATGTTGTAGAAGTTCACGACTTCAATCAATGCAACTAGAGTCAACAACATAGAGACAAACCAGCTAAACCTAAACATCATTCATAAATAATTAAAAGGAGCTTCTATTACACTGGTTGTGATGCTGCCAAAGACACTTCGCCATGGGAATAGAGATACAGGTAGGCTGTCATGCTACTTGGGACAACTATTGTCATCCACATGGCAACCTGCACTTATAAAAATATCTGGGGTTAAGAGGGGAAGGAAGATTCACTACTAAGTTACAAGAACGTAAAAAGGATAGCAACAGTCCAGTGTAATATAAGATCTATATAGATATGAGTAACTTAATAAAACCGAACCTTCCATATTTCTCTGTGATTGAGATGGTTTTGGTCAAGATCAAAAATCTTAGCATAACTAACAGTTGACTGGGAGAAGACCCACAAATTAGACCCCCAAAGCCAAACTGCGAATGTCTGCAATAACAAGGATAGATTAAAGACCAGGTAGAAAAAGGAAAAGGGATCGCAAGTAAACACCAGACACAAAAGTCCCTTACCACAAGAAGAAGAGGATTGTAATACAAGAAAACCTCATAGAGAAAAAGGTCCCTCAAATTTGCACTCATTCTCATAACAGAACTCCATCCAATCTGCAAAACATTCATCATCTGATTATTATGCAAGAACCAGCACCAAATTACGGAGAGCTTTGTATGCTCCTGATGATTCAGTCTAATAAAAAAGAATGCAGTATGCTTATCAACTCACCTTACAACAAAAGAAACCCCATAGAAAGAACAAAAGCACCTGTCAAATAAACACATATGATTATCAAGATTTTTAGAAAGAAGCTTAACCCCAATAATATGACAGATTGAATGAGTTTTTCACTTTTTTGTAAGGAAAAAACCTAAAGAGTTCAATCTGTACTTAACAATCACAAATGATGGATGAGATCCCACACCAGCTCACAGGATTTAGGTCAGATTTATGCAAGATAAGAAGGCCTTAGATAAAAATGTCCAATCTAAGTCCTTCAACACTAGAAGGTCAACTAAGTAGGAAGATTTCCAATGGAAGGTCTAACAATCACAGAGTTCACCGGCATCCATTTCTAATTAACCATTATACTAAACCAGGAATCAGTGCCGAGAAATAAGTGAAGAAGAGGAACCGAAGAACACCTTGAATCTCCACAACAGTATTGGAGATGGCATTATGGCAGCTGCGGCACTCAGTGACATTGGGAGAATTTTTAAGTTATCGGCCTCTATTGAATGCGAGAACCCTTCTTCTGCACCATTTCCTTGCTCCCCGCCTAGCAAACATGACTAAAAACCATCAACCCAACGAAGAACATAACGAAGAAACAAAACACTACTCCATGCTAACAATCAAGAGCAACCCATTACAACCAACATCCCAAAACCATAGACGCCAGGAAGAATAGGAATTAAAAGAAATAAAGGGGAATAGAAATTAAACTTCTGTTAGCTACCAAGATCAAAGACAACAGGTCGGCTACCAGACTTCCTCAAATGCGGACTATTGCCAGGCGGTACCACTTGACCTCCGAACATCAGATGCAAGCAAAGCAATCAAATCCCCACTTCGCCTATCACCATTGAAAATCATCTCGCGGTTCTCAAAACGAGTGTGGAAAAATGGCGAGAGATCCAAAACTAAACAAAAAGAAACGTTACAGAGGAATGTGAGATCAGAGGGAGACTTACAGAAGAAACTATGAAGTGGGTAATCGCTGGGATTGCGCAGATTCCGAGTGTTGCTGGACTAGGACGATAGAGGGGTTGGCTTTAGATCTCACCCACTGGGGATGGATCGTTTTCCTCTAACTTGGGACGGGTTCTTGCTTGGTTCGGACTCGGAGGGGGGTTTTTTTTTTTTTAGTGAGAGGGAAGCAAGGTTGTCAAACCGGTTTATGCCAGTGTGCCGGTTTAGCAAGTGGAATGGTTCAACCGGTGGCACATACCGGTTTGTGCCGGTTCATGCCGGTCATTATTACAAATAAAATTATAAATACTCATATTTAAACATGACATTTAACGTCAATACCTAAACATTTATACTTGAATCCAACAAATAACATATATATTTAACTTTTATACTCATAAAATAAATAATAAAATAATTTTTATCAATTAAATTCTCTAAAATAAGGTCATTTTACTTAGAGATTCGTATATCGATCATGCCGGTCATACCGGTGGTGTCACGCCGGTTTTATGACTGGTATCGGTTGAACCCGGTACAACCGGTGGCACGCCGGCCGGCATAACAACTATGGAGGGAAGGAAGGGAGACCAGACAAAGGCAGGGTAATTTTGCAAATTTGTCGAGAACTGATTTGCAAAATATGAAACGGCGGGAGATGGGAGCGTTTCATACATTGTTTCGCTCTCGCTAACGTTAACGTAACGTTCTGCGGGGGGAAACGTGAAAAAGGAACGACGGGTGCGTGGGCCGTGGAGTGGACCTACCTACTGTCAATGCATTTGTATTTCCGGTTATAAAATTTCCGGGTTAATTGCATGATTGGTCACTGAGATTACAAAAAATGTTCAAGTTTGGTCACTCGAAATATTTAAATTCATTGGTGGTACTTCAGTTTACCGAAACCGTTCACGTTTGGTCACTCTCCGTTCAACTCCGTTAACTTTGGCTGATGTGGTAGTCAACTCTCAAAGTTGACCGTTAACTTAGTGACGTGGCAACTAAAAAATTATTAAAAATAAAAAAATAAACTTTTATATTTTCCTCCTCATTATTATATTCATTAAAAAATAAAAAAATATAAAAAATCTATTTTTTTTTCTACAAACCCCATACCCTACCCACGTTGAACGGACTCCCGCCTCTCGTCGGACTCCTCATCGCGAAGCTCCCGACCACCGTCGTCCACGCCGGCGACACCTCCCCTCCGAAATCCTTCTGGAACATCCCGCACCCGAATTCGCTCCTCTGCCATTGAGGTTCCATCGGGCAGGGATAAGGAGAGTTATTTCGCCATCCAATACCAGTCAACCACGTAGCGTCAACCCATTTCTCCCCGTCCACTGCCCCCATTCCCAGTTCATCGTCATCGTCAGCATCAGATAAGAAAAGCGTTTCCGCCACGAAACAAGAAAATGGTCTCGATTCGAAACCGTTACCTGCAGTCGTATAATCCCAGAAGAAGAAGATGAAACTGGGGAATTGGCTTCCAATTCGTGAATTGCGGAATTGAGGGTGTCCAGAGCCAATGCAGGAGTTATGGCCGCCGGAAGAGTCCGAGTTACCATGTCAACGGCGGATGATCCTCGGCCGGCGGTGTGCCAGTATTGCTCCGGCGGGCACCCGTTCATGGACTGGGAGCACGAGGAGTTATAATGACACCTCTGTAAAGTAATTCTCATTTGATATATCAATACAACAGCTTCCATCTAGATTGCAGAGAACAAAACTTAATCGTCATACTTACTTGGCGGGAAAGATGAAGGGTGGCCTGTTAGTTCCGCCGCCGCTGGAAAACAGGGCAAGCGGAGGAAACAGCGGTGGCCGTGGCGGCGCGGCAGTGGAGCAAATTCGGGTTCGGGTGCGGGATGTTCCAGAAGGATTTCGGAGGGGAGGTGTCGCCGGCGTGGACGCCGGTGGTCGGGAGCTTCGCGATGAGGAGTCCAGCGAGAGGCAAGAGTCTGTTCAACGTGGGTAGGGTATGGGGTTTATAGAAAAAAAAAAGATTTTTTACATTTTTTTATTTTTTAATGAATGTATTAATGAGGTGAAAAATATAAAAATTTATTTTTATTATTTTTAATAATTTTTTAGTTGCCACGTCACTAAATTAACGGTCAACTTTGAGAGTTGACTGCTACATCAGTCAAAGTTAACGGAGTTGGACGGAGAGTGACCAAACGTGAATGGTTTCGGTAAACTGAAGAACCACCAATGGATTTAAATATTTCGAGTGACCAAACTTGAAAGTTTTTTGTAATCTCAGTGACCAACCATGCAATTAACCCTAAAATTTCCACTAGCTTTTATTTCACCCATTGGGTTGGTCCGAATGTCCGATAGATTTACCTATTTGTCATCATTTCTTTTTTTTTTTATGAAACGTTGGGATCTTATTCATCAAAAAAGCGTTTTGCTAGCAACACCCTTGCTAGCTAGGGATACTTCACCAAAACTGCAAAGACAGTAGGGATGGCAACAAAACCCGAACCCATGGATACCCACCCGACCCAACCTGATCAACGCGGGTAAAACCAGTGTTGATGGGTTTTGGGCCGGGTTTGGGTTTAAACCCGCTACACTATTCACCGGGTCGGGTTGGGTTTAGGTAAACCCGCCCCATGGGTACCCGCCCACACACATATAATTACTTTCTCGGTATATTTAATATTCTAAATAATATATCTTCCTTAAACAACTAATATTCTTTATGTTTGTGGAGACGTGTATAATTTGTTCTTTCTAATTGTTTAGAATGAAGTTGATATTATGAAGTGGAGAGTGAAGAAACTTAGTTGACAAGGAAGAAGCTTTCAATTAATCTTATTGTTTATAGATGTTTATCTTTAATTTTGAACAATTTGTATTGATCATTTGCGGTTTGCTTGTATGCTCTAGATTGGTGTTTTTTGTATAAATAATTTGTATGAGAAAATTGATGTTAAACTTTTATTTAGAAAGAAACTTGTTATTGTAAATTTTTTACCACAAAAACCCACGGGTACCCATGAACCTACGGATACCCAGCGGGTTGGGTTGGGTTTGAGCTTTTCAAACCCAGTGGTTTTACCCCGGGTTTTTTTGGCGGATAAACCCATGGGTTTGGGTTTGACAAAACCCGCCCCAACCCGACCCATTGTCATCCCTAAAAGACAGCAATAAAACTACCTCTGAGACAGATTGGTACTAATCATTCCAAAAGAGACTCACTCTACCCCTCCCAAGCACATACACAATCTCAGACTTGATGACAGACAACACTTCTTGAAAACCTCTAAGCTCACCTCCATACATTCGACGACATCGTTCTCTCCAGACCTAACTTACCCACGTTTGCCAAATGAATCGTCCTGTTTCAGCAACCTCTATCTGCTTACCATACTTCAACAGTAGCCATGAAACCATGTCCTCCCAAGTTTGGAAAACCGGGACCTGCATAGAACCACTAAACAACTCGTCAAGAAGCTGCCTAGTGAAAGGGCAGAGAACAAATAGATGTTGCCTACTCTCAACCCCTCCCCCACAAAGAACACAATCCATCGATCACTGAAATCCCCATTTCTGCATTTTTTCCTTTGTTTGTATACTTCCTCGAGTTACCAACCAAGTAATCAGTCGATTGCTTGGTATAGCCACACCTTTCCATAGTAGTTTCCATCAGGTTACCTTTTGCTGAGAAGGTCTAAAAAGCTGCCACACTCTTTTAATAGAGAAGCGAGGCATAGGAAAATCATCAAGCAGCAAGACACCATCCCTAATCGAAATGAAAGGAGATATCCTACTTCTGAGCTTCAGGATTTTACACCAGTTCCAGGACCCTGATGTGCAAGTGTAGGTCCAGAAGCATCTCCCCTTCAATTTGTACTTGTTGATCCACGCCACCCACAAAGACCCCTCCTGCAGCAATATCTGCCAAATATGTCTTGTAGCACAGACCTGGTTCCAGCTACTCATATCCCTGAACCCCAGGCCTCCCTCCTTTTTAGGAAAAGTAAGTTTATTCCATGCAACATTTGCTCTAAAATTTACCCCTCTTTACACTCCCCATATGAAATTGCTACACATTCTCTCCACTTCTTTAATCACAGCTTTAGGGAGAAGGAAGACGGACATCTAAAACTGGTTTAAACTGTAGAGGACAGTACCCACTAACTCAATTCTACCTGCATAAGATAGTGATTTCGCTTTCCAATATGTGATCCTTGCAACTATCTTCTCTATAAGCGGTTTACAAGCTGTTAAGCTCAATTTACCAGATATCAGAGGAACCCCCAAGTATCTGACAGGGAACTCCCCCAGTTTGTATCCATATCTTTCAGCTCTAACTACCCTTTCATCCTGAGGTAACCCTCCAAAAGAAATTTCACATTTACTAGGGTTTGATTTCAATCCAGATAGCTTCCTAAACTGGACAAGAATTCTTTGCAACTCCTGAATTCCATTGTTTGATGCATCCATAAAGACCAGCAGGTCATCAGCAAAGCAGAGGTGGGTAAGTTTTACTCCTTTACACATTGGGTGGTATGGGAATCTCCCAGCAGTGGCCGATTGATCAATCAAACAGGTGAATAATTCCATGGCTACTGCAAATAAATAGGGAGAGAGAGGATCCCCTGCCTAAATCCTCTCTTGGCTGGAAAGTAACCAACCAAACCGCCATTGAAGCACACACTCAACATAGGAGTACTAACACACATCCTAATCCAGTTAACAAATCTTGCAGGGAAACCCATGCACTTAAGGACTTGAAATATGAAAGACCAATCAACCGAATCAAACGCTTTCATTAGATCAATCTTTAAAGCACATCTAGGGGAGATATTATTGTGAGAGTACTTATTGACCAGTTCATGTGCCATTAAGATGTTTTCACCAATTAACCTTCCCTTAACAAATGCAGTTTGATTTTTAGTGATCAGAGCAGGAAGCAGGGGACTTAGCCTATTAGCTATAAGTTTAGAGATGCATTTATACAATATATTGTAGCAGGAAATAGGCCTGAAGTTCCTCATATCATCAGGGTTTGGTGTTTTAGGGATCAAGGTGAGGATAGTAGCATTAACTGGTCTAGGCACCCTATCTTGTTCAAAACAAAACTAAATGGCAGCAGTTACCTCAGAGCTAATGATTGGCCAAGCATATTGAAAGAATGTCGCAGAGAAACCATCATTGGTCTAGGCACCCTATCTTGTT